AATTTTAATTTTGTGTTTGTAAATTCTGTACATTTAATTAAGTTATTGTTAATTATATATTGGTTTAATTTAAGTGGCGAATAATCCAGTATTTGCTAGACGCCCTCTATTCCTGTATATAAGCGCGCCAGATAAAGCGAGACAATTAATCGGAACTGGAATAGCAAACAGAGAGATTGAAGATATAGACAGATAATCGAGTCAAGCCGTAACTAAAGTGTGTAAATCATTGTGAATTATAGCGTGTGTTTAAGTTAAAGCGACTGTGGAAATGAAGTGTATTGCAAAGTTGTATTGAGAAAGAATAAACTAGTTTTATTTAAGAAAGGACTTGTATCGCTGAAGTTCTTCGGAAAGAACTTTTTAAGGGTAATTAACAAACGACCAGAGACGTAACAGTTGCAACTCAGGAATAGTTAGGCACACCTGGACCTGGTTTCACTTTAACTGCCATTATTTAGACCACCCATACTCATGTTAATTAATGTGACACAACAGTAAGAAAATCAATACAATGAGTGTATATGCTGGTAAATCATGCTTATGAGCACCATATAAATTACTGGAAGTTGCTAAATCACATTTAAAAACTCGATAGGTTTAACTACACGAACACTACAGGAGACAAGTCTGAAATTGTTCGAATGAAAATTACACAATGTGGAGAAGGGTGTAATCATAACATAATATAAGCCTAGAGGCTTAAAGGCTATATTTAATATTAAAGGTTTTGATAGAATGAGAAAACTTAAATATAGGCTAACTAATTAGTGGTGCTAGATTACAGTTCCTAGATTAAGTCGCTAGCACATCTAGATCTAACGTGAATGTTAGACCTGTTATTTCCATTTTTTAGTCTTAGGTTTGGATCTAGATGTAATAATATTGACAGAAATTTAGCTTTATACATCTAAACTAGACCTTAGACTTGGGTGCATAAATTGAACGCACCTTGTATTGAATCTACCCAGATCTAGATATAACTCTGCCTCATTAATTCTGGATTTAGATTTATTATGCCTAGCTTTTAGAACAAATGTTACATCTAGATATATTAACTTAGTCATTAGATCCGTACCAGTGCAATGCCTAGTTTAATAGTTAGTATAGGTCTAAGTATGCCTATAATATAGGCTACAATTTGTATGATAATGGACCTAGGGTCTAGAAATAAAGTTATAACTGCAATTAGAACTAAAGTCTAGTGCATTAGTTGGTGTAAGACATGATTTACAATCAGCCAATACAATTACAAACCACTACATTAGGCCTATAATGTTTACTAGACCTAGATCTAGGCCTTGCCTTTTGCATATATTGCCAATCTTGCACACCAGTTAATATGTTACATCAATCTCGTATTTTATTTTTGTTGAACATACACTTACTAATACGTTGTACTCTAGGACTTGTATTTGATCTGCAGATGAATGATGGAATAGTGTAATTTACTTCTGTACGTCAGTTCGGTCTCACTTGTATTTCAGTGGGCAGCTTTTAAAAGTTAAAACTGCAAGCGTAATACACACAAATACACTGTGTCGTATTTACTTAACGTAGGGCAGTT